TATGAATAAAAGTAAATGATAAAACTTGAATCAACCTAATTGGTCAGTCATCTTAAGTTTAAAATTCAACTTGAAATTATAAAAAATCAAAATTCAAATGGATTGAAATACTAAATACATAATTAAATAAAGATTATCAAATAAATTTTGTTAACGAATGCCTTTAAATCACTTTTAAGTTTAGTTAAATTATAATTTATAATAATTTTTTTTATTTTATGTGTAAAATAATAATTAATTTGATAAATTTCAATTCTTTTGAACAAATATTACCTAATATAACAACCTTAAAATTTTTGATACAACAATGAATATTCTTGAACTAATAATAAAGAGAAAATGAATGAGTATACAATATATTTCCAAATAAAAGAGTTTCATATTAATCTTTAAAAAATTTGAAATTAATACACGTATATATTTTTCATTGAAATATTATATATCACTAACTTTTTTTGTCATATGAAAAAGATAAAGTTATGTATAACTAATCAATTTTTCATCTCATTTTTTTGTTTAGAATAATCTTCCATTAGTGCTTCCACCAATTGAATACAATTGTACATTCTATCCATTAAAAACTTAATTTTTTATTCAAAAAATGTTATTCTACATAAATTTTTATTATATAAAAATATTAAAACAAATAATTTTAAAAAATAATATAAAAAATAAATTCTTAACCTTGGTACTTGTTATGTTTTCTTAAGAAAATTCCAATTTTAAGAATAACAAACTTGTTATATAATACCTATATAATTTATAATAATTTCATTTTCAGCATTAACGAAATAAATTTTCATGAATGAATGTAATTTTGATATAAACACATTCAAAAAGATAATTTCAATGAATTTTATCACACCATTAATGAAATCATCAAAAATAATTTATTTTATTTTATTTGATAATTTTTTACTTTGAATAATTCACATTATCTCATTCAATTATCTGGATGACAAAAAAAGTAAGTAATTTAATATAATTGAGAAAAATTAAATAATATTGAAATATAAATTAATCATATATATATATATATATATATATACATATTAAGATAAAAGTTAGCAGACAATTAACTTAATTATTGATTCAATCAATGTGAATAATTTTTATGGCAATTTGATGGGATTCAGTCTTGAGCTACTAGTAGCTTGATTACCTCCTAAATCATCTAATTGTATAAGTGAAAAATTCAATTAAAGTATTCAATGAATCATATACTGGTAATTATTGGTGGAATTGATGTAATTGACTTGCATTTGATTTGATATTAGTTTTTGTTAATAAAAATAGCAATTATAAAATTTTAGAGAAAAAAATATTAAAAAAATTAATTATAAAGGTTAGACTAAATTGTAAGAATGATATAGTAAAAAATTATTCAAGGAACTAAAAGATTAATTTGTTATCAATAATCAAATAATCAACTTATAAAATATATAAATAATAAATCATTAACATATATATATATTTAATATATTAAAACAAAAAAATTGAAAGACCAAAAAAAAAGCTTCAATAACTTAATTATAGTTATCTTTAATAAATTTATTTATCGACATAAACTATATAAATAATTATTTTTGCAACAACTAAATAAACAAATTTCATATAATTGTTTTATTTTTATGCATATTATGCTTTGCTCTCATTCTATTTGTATTTTCATTTGCTGTGAAAAATCATTTTACTTATAAAAAAGGGGTCTAATAATAAAAAAAATTCATTTAAATTAAAATTTATAAAAAATTACTAATGGTATTTTAGTCAAATCACTTTTAACATTTTGGAAATTAAAATTTTATTAAGGGAATTTTAGTTACTCATTTTTAGCATTTTTTTCGTCTAATTATTCAAACAAGTCTAATAATAAAAAATTTCATTTAAATTAAAATTTATAAAACATTTACTAAGTATATTTTAGTCAATCACTTTTAATACTTTTAGAATTAAATTTTTTTAAAATTTTAAATAGTTTAATTTCACATAAATTCTATTTTTAGTTTATTTAAATTAAACTTAAATAAATTAATAAAAGTTATATATTTAAGGATAAATTAGTTAATTTAAAATTTTATAAAAGTATTTATGTTGATCACTATTAACACCTAAATGAATCATATAGTGGTAATTGTTGGTGGAGGGAATGCAATTGATTTGCATTTGATTTAATATTAGTTTTTGTTTATGAGAATAACAATTATAAAATTTTTGAAGAAACATATAAAAGAGTTAATTATTAAGGTTAGATTAAACTGTAAGAATGATATATTAAATAATTATTTTAAGAAACTAAAAGGATTAATTATGTTATCAACGATCAAATAATCAACTTGTAAAGTATATAAATAATAAAATCGACATATATATATTTAATATATTAAAACAAAAAATTAAAAGACAAAAAATTAAAAAAACAAATATGCTACAATGACTTAATTATGGTTATCTTTAATAAATTTATTTATCGACGTAAACTACATATGTGATTATTTTTGCAACAACTAAACAAAAAACTCTATATAATTGTTTTATTTTTATGCGCATTAAGTTTTGATTTCATTTTACTTGTTTTTTTATTTGATGTAAAAAATCATTTTACATATAAAAAAAATGAGTATAATAATAAAAAATCATTTAAATTATAAAAAATCACTAATGGTATTTTAATAATTCACTTTTAACATTTTTAAAATTAAAATTTTATTAATGATATTTTAGTTAATTATTTTTGACACTTTTTTAGTCTAATTATAAAAAAGAGTCTAGCAATAAAAAATTCATTTAAATTTAAATTTATAAAATCATTTGCCAACTATATTTTAGCCAATCACTTTTACTATGTTTAGAATTAAAATTTAAAAATTTAAATAGTTTAATTTCACATAAACTCTATTTTTAGTTGATTTAAATTAAACTTAAATAAATTAATAAAAGTTATATATTTAAGGATAAATTTGCTAATTAAAAAATTTATAAAAATAGTTAGGGTTGATCACTATTAACACTTCATTGAATTATATAGTAGTAATACTTGATTTGTATTTGATATTAGTTTTTGTTCATGAGAATAACAATTATAAAATTTTAAAGGAAAAAATACAAAAGAAAATTAATTATAGAGGTTAAACTAAATTGTAAGAATGATATATTAAAGAATTATTTTAATGAACTAAAAAATTAATTATGTTACCAATAGTCAAATGATTAACTTATAAAATATATAAATAATAAAATCATTAAATATGTATATTTAATATATTAAAACAAAAAATTGAAAGACAAAAAATAAAGAAAAAACCAATATGCTTCAATGACTTTATTATGTTTATCTTTAATAAATTTATTTATTAACATAAACTACATATACAATTATTTTTGCAACAAATAAATAAACAAACTCCGTATAATTGTTTTATTGTTATACACATTAAGCTTTGATCTCGTTCTATTTGTATTTTCATTTGATGTGAAAAATTATTTTACTTATAAAAAAATTTTAATAATAAAAAATATCATTTAAATTAAAATTTATAAAAAATTTCTAATAGTATTATGGTCAATAACTTTTATCAATTTTGAAATAAAAAAAAATTGAAAGACAAAATATAAAAGAAAAACAAATATGCTTTAATAATTTAACTATAGTTATCTTTAATAAATTTATTTATTGATATAAACTACATATACAATTATTTTTGCAATAATTAAATAAACAAACTCCATATGATTTTTTTATTCATATGCATATTAAGTTTTGACACCGTTCTATTTGTATTTTTATTTGATGTAAAAAATCATGTTACTTATAAAAAATAGTTTAATAATTAAAAAATCATTTAAATTAAAATTTATAAAAAAAAATTAGTAATAGTATTTTAGTGAATCACTTTCAATATTTTGAAAATTAATATTTTAGTAAGGGTTAGTAATCATTTTTAGCACTTTTTTAGTCTAATTATAAAAAAGAGTTTAATAATAAAAAATTCACTTAAATTAAAATTTATAAAAATATTTACTAAGTATATTTTAGCCATTTACTTCTAATACTTATAGAATTAAAATTTTAAAATTTTAAGTAGTCTAATTTCAAATAAACTCTATTTTTAGTTGATTTAAATTAAACTTAAATAAATTAATAAAATTATATATTTAAAAATAATTTTGTTAATTTAAAAATTTATAAGGGTATTTAAGTTGATCATTATTAACACTTTTGGAGTTCACACTTTTATATATAAATTATAAAATATTAAAATTCATATATGATAAAATATAAAATATATTTTTTATTTTGTTAAACTCATATATAATTATTGATAAAATTTTAAATTGTGTCATCGTCATATTTTTTTTATTATGTTTATGCGTATCACTATATCATATTTTATATTATTAAATCAATCCACCCATTGGGATAAAGTTGGTAATGACTCTTACTAAGTCTTAAGATAAAGTTGTAAGCATCAAAATTAGATCTGCTAATTTAAAACATTATAATGATATTATATGAACGCAATAGGAATAAAAGATACGAACGTACATGATTTTAAAATTTTAATAATAATTATATTTGAGTTTAAAAAAAATATATTTTATGTTTTCATAGCGATATAAATTATAATATATAATTTTTGTATAAAATATATATAAATTTTAATATTTTATACGACACAAATATAAGATTGAATCTACTCTAAATAAAGTTGTAATAAAATCAACTAAGCCTTATATTTTATCTACTCGAGATAAAGTTGTAATGACATCAACTAAGCCTTATATTTGAATAGTATAACCTAAATGGTGCCTAAAAAACCAATTTCCGCAGCCAGGAATTTCATGATTGAAATTTAAGCACCGTGCGACTGCGGAATTTTTGAAATGTGGGGCATCTGGATTTATTTAGTCAATTATTTTAGGGCTTAACTCTAACAACAGAGTTGTAGACTGTGGTTATACCTTTTATTTCAGCCCAACCAAAGGCCGAACTGAGCAAATGCTCAACCTGGCAGAAGCGTACAGCATACGCACACCGTCTGCTGTTTCCCTCCAAAAATCCATTTTTAACCTCCAAAAAAATTTATTCGAAATTTCCCGACATCCCTCCCAAATGGACCAACCGTCTTCACCTCATACAGCCAATGCCGCCAACGAGTGGGAGCTCTGCAACGAAAACGGCTTCATCTACAAACGCAAGAAGCGACGCCGCGTACTTATCGAACCAGCACCGTTACCGGCGGATCCCGAGGAAGAGGAGAAACGAAGGAGAGAGTGGAAGAGGAATAATCTTCTTAGAGTGAAAGAGAAATACAAGAAAGAGATCGAGGAGTGGGAGATTTTGTCGAAAACTTTGAAGGTAATGCAAGAGAAGGCTTTAGGGTTTCAATTTCAACAGCAAGAAAGAGAGAAATTAGGGGAGACAGAAGAGAAGCAGAGAATGGCGTCCTTTTCAGGGTCTGAGAACAAAGATAACGCCTCTGACTTTTTGGTTGATGAGCTTCTTTTGCAGGTAAATTATGAAATAATTCTTTTAAATTTTTACTTAATTAAGTCATTAAAATTTATATCAATGCTGTCTTCTATTTCTAAGCTTGAGTTTTCTTTTTAACATTTGAAACGCAGGCAGAGACTCGAGAGATGACAATTCGTGATGTTTCCAATTTGTGTGATATGGCAGAAGCAATGTGCAATGCACAAGAGGAGCGATTGAAGCAATCTTATTTTGATCTGCCAATTTGGGCATCGCTGCCTGACCTAATGGCATCGTTTTGTGATGAGTAAGTATCTTTTCAGATTGTTCTTGGCTATCAAAAGGAACAAGATTGAACCTGGGGTGGACTCTTGCTGTAATTTATGTATAACCTGTTATGTTCATAGATAGTAATGCTCCAAAAATGGCTCATTCTAACATGGTGTTGTGCAAAACTCTGCATTTGTCAGTATAGTTGAAATTTTCTTGGCTTAAAAGTAGTTTATCACGTAATTTTGATAGGTAGTATTATCATCGATCTGACCTTTTGATGCGGTGGAAATATGTTTTGCCCTTACCCAAGTAATTTTTGTGCTAGAGCTAGTGTATTGAAATAGCTCGTTTGTATAGCGTGGGTTTCGATCCTTCTACTTTTATAGCTGCTGTGGAGTGGAGTCTTATTCAAATAAATTTCTAGAAAATGACTTATACGCAATCCAGGGCTGGAGGAAGCCAAATTAACGTACATAGAAATAAAAAAGGGTTCATGAGCTGTCTTTCTTTACGTAGGGCAAGAAATTGTGCAAGGTGTAGTTTGAAGTTTGAAAATTAGAAATTTTAGTTGGATAATATCTTTTCAAGGTGAGTATAAGCCTTCTTATTTTATGTGAATAGTATGAAAGGCTTTATTTGTTAGTTTGGGATGTTGCCATACAGTAATATGGCTATGGTTTATTCCGGATTTGGGTCATGATGGTATATGTGTGAGAAATTTGTGTTTTTATGTAACTTTTCCAGGTAAACATTCTCAGATTGTTGTGTAGGATACAAGATAAATCCATTTCCGGTTCAAAATTTTGCTAAATAGATTCAACAGTATGCTTGAACTTGGCTCATGAAGGATGATGTTGAAAATGTTTGAATTTTCTTTTGTAAAATAGGCTTTGCAACATTTGCAACCATGTATTTTATGAACTACAGTCTACAAGTGATGCCACTGTACAGTCTGCTGGAAATTTTATCTTTCTTTATCTTACAATATCTAACATAGCTGGTTGTGCTGCGATTTAACGGTATCCTTTATGAGAAAACAGAAGGTAGGGAATGTTTCAGTTTTATATTTTTCCTTTCCCGTGGATTTGGAGCAACCCATGGCAGAATTGTTTTGCTGGAGGCACATTCTCTATTCTTTTACTTGTCCTAAGATTTGCAAATGTTATAGGTATATTTATGTATGTTTTATCTATTTTACTTTAACCTATAAAATTTTCACAATAAAGATGTGCAGAACTTCATCCGCGGTGAGGATTTGAACCTGAAATTTCAAAGAGAATCATAATTTAACAAATGTGCTACATTCTTGCAAGTTATATTGAAATTTCCTTTTATATAGAATTTCGAAAGAAAAATGTGAAAATCTTCTAGCTACCTGAGTTTGAATCTGGAACTTCAGAGACAATGTAACTTATGCATGTTTAACACAAGATATCTATATATATATATATATATGCAATGTGCAAATTTCCATTATATGGTTAATGTAAAATATTCAAAAAATATTTGTAAATGGGTTTTCCGCTGCCAGGATTCGAACCTGGAATTTCAGAGAATTGAAATTTAACCAACGTGCTACAGCGGAATTCTTATTATGGTTTCCAAATATTTTTATATAATATTGCATACAAGTTAAACATAAATTTCCTCTTATATAGAAATTAAAAAAAAAAAAAAATTGAAAATCGTTTCGCTGCCAGAGTTTGTATATGGAATCTACAAAAATGCAACACAAGATTTGCATTATTATGTACAATGATTCTTTAGTCATAACTAGAGAAAAGTAGAAAGTAGTACCACAAGTTATTATTGTTTTATTAAGAGGTCACAACTTAGGATCGACAATATTTGTATAGCTTTAGTGAACACAACTTTCATTGCAGTCTTCATCAAATGTGGCACTTAAAAATTAAAATGATAATCAGAGCTAGTGTTCTTGTTTGAATATATTGATTTATTGTGAGTTTTATATATATATATATATATATATATTATTAATAGAGTTTTGAAACTTTACATTAAAATTTTGGTCAACAAAATTTTCACATTAAAATTAATTATATTAATTAATTATTATTTTAGCATGTATTATAAAATATATTAATTAGTTATTGATTTATTCTTAATTTTGTATTTAATTCAACTTTTTAATTTATATTGACAATAATTTAGCTTGTTTTGTTGTTAAGACTTGAAAAATTATAAAATATTTATAAATTATGATATTATATAAAATACTTATAAAAAAATTATCTTTATAAAAAGTATTAGTTATATAATTAAATTTAATGTCATAATAAAAATATAAATATAATAATTTTTTAATAAAATTAAAATTCTTTTATTTTTTTTTTAACTTTTTCTCTCAAATTGAAATATTAAAAAAGTGATGATTATGAGAGAAATCAAATGTTATTAGCTTTTTACATTTTTTTTCTTTTAATTAAAATTTTATCCAAATAAAAAAATATTATTTTATTTTCCTTTATTGTTTTTCTCTCGATCAGTGGAAAAACTCACCACATATAGGGATGGATAAAAGTTGATCCAAATCGAATTGAAACCTATCAAATTCGATTAATTCAGTTTGATTTATTTGATTTTGGATATAATTGATTTAACTGATAAAATTGATCAGTTTTCAATGTTTGAAATTAATTATGGAATCGACCGATTTGACCGATCCCTTTAATATGTTTTAACCTAATGGCAAATATGTAATTTCTCCATGCCTAGAAACTTCTAACCGTCGAAGACTGAAGGGCCAATAACTCCGACCCCCAAATCTGAAATTCCCCATTTTCCACCAGCCCCAGACCTGAAATAGTGAAATCCTCTAGTCTCTAATCATTCTGCTCTTCGATCAGATTTAATCTCATTTTCGACCCTCAATTTCTCATCCCATATCTGCCTCCCTCGTACCCGTTTCTGGCCTGTTGTTTTGCGTCTCGGGCGTCTACTGCTTCTTTGATGAGATCGACGAGAGTCACAGCCCAACAAGACAGCGATTGACGACACCAACAGCCACCGTAAGTCCCTAATGACCTTCATCATTTCCTTTATCATTTTCATGCTAAAAGCGAAGTGTTATTGATATTCTACTTGCGAATATGTTAGAGAAAAACAACTCTGCGACTTGAAAGTGGCCTTCAGCTTGCTTTGCTGCAATTTTGATTGCTGCTACTAATATTTTATCATGATGTTCTTCATCGTCTTCATTCAAAGAAAGATGAGCATGTAGTTGGGGTTTTGCGACCAGATGACTTCCTGGACCATTTGTCTGCAATTAATAACCTCCTTCTATTGTTCAATGGGTTCTCTCCCTTCTGCAGATCTTTCACTAAGCTTAATATCTGAGATTCGCAAATTACTTTGATTTTCCCTACTTTGCTTGTTATTTGATATGTTGGAGTAATAGTTTTTAGAATTTATTAAAAAATTCGATTATTTAATCGAATTGACTGTATCGAGTTGATTTTGATGGGTTTGATTATAATGGGGTATTTAAAATTTTTCGATCAATGTAATTATTTGTAAAATGAAAATAGATTAATTTTATTATTGATTTTTTTAAATTGAACCAATCGAACGGCCAATTGCACGCCCCCAACCACGCATTACACATTTTTAAAAAAAATAACCTTGCTTTTTTCTTTTTAACCCTTAAAACTAAAATGCAGGGACTAAAATGTATCTACAACTTAAACTTTTTTTCTCCATTCTTCTTTTTGTTTTTGTTTTTTTTTTTTTTGTCATTTTGATATTTTTATTTAAAAATTTTTAAATAACCTTATTAATTTAATATAATAAATAAAATTATATATTTATACAATAAAAATAATTAAAAATAAATAAATAATAAATTTAATATTCAAATAAATATCTTTGTAATTGTTATTTTAATTAATTTAATATATGTTAATATTTTAATTAAAGATTTTAAATATTAAATAATATTAAAATATACCTAAAAATAATTTATTACTGTACTTTTAGATTAATATTTTTAATAGTTATTATTTTCTTATTATAACTCAATGCATCATCATTGATATTTTTACATTTAAATTCATATCTCATTTTTATAATAATCAATCTCATTACTTAAATAATTAATTTTATTTTTATCATTATTTTTAATTTCATTAAAACTAAACTTATTGTCCATCTAAATGGATATTAAATTTGACTTAATGGTGGCTATTATTGACGATGGCATTAAGAATTTTGACTCGGTTTTAACATTATTATCCAATCATATAGGAGTAATAATATTTAAATTGGATTCAATTTTATTTTATGGATAATATATATAATTATTAATTTTTAAAATTTAATTCGAGTTCGAATTAAATTTTTATACTATCAAATTCGATTTAAATAAAATTTTATCGATTTGATTTAATTTATTAATTTTTTAAATGTAAATTTTTTTTTGCTTTTTATATATTATTTTAATATAATTTTTAATATATTTAAATAACTTTTGGTATAAAATAATTATTTTTATTTTATAAAAATTAAAAAATTAATAAAAATATATAATTTTTTTTTATTATTTTTTAATTTAAATTTAGTATATACATTTAATATTTAAATTTAACTTATCAAAAAATTTGATCCAAATCAAAAGTTTTAATTTTGTACCAACATTTTATTTTATTAATTTTTTTTCTCGCCCTTCCAACCATATAAGTAAAGCTTGGGATCGGTGGTTTTGAAGTGTACGTGGTGTTATATAAAATATGTTACAATCATTTAATTTTGTTGTTTTTTTTTTTTTTTGAAGAAATCTAATCTTGTTGATGATTTAACGGTATATGATATAATTATTTATTTATTTATTGATTTTTCAAATTTTCTTTTATTTAACATTAATTACATAAAAATGTAAATTTGAAAACAATAGTTGTCTTTTGCATCCAAATTATAATTTTAAGGGTTTTAATTATATCAAAGAAGCATGCAAATTTTCTTTTAAAAGTATTTTTAAATGCAATTATGCCAAAAAAAAAACCCTTTACACAGAGGAAAATAAAGGCATTGATCTCAAAATGTCACCCAAAACTTTCTAGTGGGTCATGATTCTTTTGAAGATTATAATACTAATATAATCCAAATAAAATTAATTAGTAAAGCAACATACCAACAAAAATATAATTAAAAAATAAATAAATCAAAATTAAAAAGAAAGGATAATGGCAGTCATTTGCTTCAATCTAGAACAAGAAAAGACAATAAAAAAATAGCGAAGGAATCGAATCTAAATTAGGTCGTTTCCAAAAAAAACACCAAATTATTATGCACACCTCATTGATTTTTGATTAAATTATGACAATGGTTTTTGTACTCTAATGAAATTTAAAATTTAATCATTCTATTATAATTTATAAAATACATTTATAAAAATTAAAAATTATTTTTTAAAAAATTAAAATATGATTTTTTAAAGATGAAAATATTATTTTTTAGAAAATTAAAATATTAAAAAAAATAAATTTCATATTTTAAAAATTAAGAAAAGTTCTAAATAATTCATAAATTTAAGTTTTTTTTTTAAGTAAAACCTTATTTTTTTTAAAAATCAATAAATGTTGTCTTTTAAAAAATTTAAATATTTCAAAAAAATCATATTTCTTTTACTTTTTTATCATTTTTAAATTTTCAGATATTTTCTTCTGGTATTTTTAAAAATTTTTAATTTTTAAATTTTTTTAAAAAAAAATTAACAGTTATGTCAATGAAATTAAAATAAAGTAATTCATTGCATTAATAAATTAATATTATTAAATTTAATTTGTACAAAAACAAAATTTTTTTATAAATTATACTAAAGAGACAAAAATTTAAATTCTATATGATTACAAATACTATTTATACAATTTAATCATTAATTTCATTCATTAATGTTATCACGTTAATAAAAATCAACATCACATTGACAAAATTAATGTTATATCAACAAGGTTAATGTTTATATTATAAAGTTAATAGTTATGACGAAATTTTAATAATCTCAATGATTAAATTAAAATTATCAAATAAAAAAAAACATAAAATAATATTTATATGAATTATAGCTTATGGATTAAATTTCGAATTTCCTTACGTGCATGGTCTATTGTTATAATTTGACCCCAATTTTTTAATTAAATTTAATTTTTCGAAAATATAGAATTATTTGCTGCCGACACTTATACCCGAACAAACCGCTCAGGCGAAGACATCTTATATTATATAATCCCTTAACTCTCTTCTAGTACCGTGTCTGTATGCAAACAGAGAAAGACATATAGTGAACTAAATTGTTGCTTTTTGATGATTCTATCATCTTCTTCATCAATATCTCTAGATATTGTTCTTGTTCAGTTACTATAACTGAATGCTTCGTATGTTTTGGTTCTTATCTTAGTATTTTAAACGAGAAATTTCTAGTGTCCAAGCTCAATTCTGAGAAGAATTTTTAACAAATGATGCTGTCAAGGAAGTCTGAATCGGATATCAGTAGCCTTGCTCCATCATCACTTCAAGGTCTCCCAAACGTCCTGCATACTACGTTCAGAGTCCTTCTCGTGACTCTCATGATGGAGACAAGTCATCTTCCAGGCAACTAAGTCCCATGGAGCCACCTTCATACCCTTCCTCCTTTGGACGCCATTAAAGGAACTTTACAGGTAGCCGGTTTTTGGGGATTTTCAGGTCGTCTTTTGGGAGGAAAGGGAGCAGGAAGAGGAATGATAAAGGCTTGCCTGACTGTAATGTGATTATGGAAGAAGGGTCCTATGATGAGTTTGAGGATAAGGTGTTTACTAGGCGTTTTCAGGCCTTGATTGCTGTGTATAATTTTTTTGTTTTGTTCACAGTGTTTTGCTTGATTATTTGGGGTGCTAGCAGGCCTTTCAAAGCTGAAATCACAGTTAAGGTGTGCCAATTTTATCCAATTTGTTTATTTGCTAATATATTTATTTTTTATTTTTTACAGAAGAGAGCACGGTCCGGTTAGAGGAAAAAGTTGTTAGATGTTGAAATTTAAACCTAAACTTATTGGATGACATCTATTAAGGACAATCGCATGAACCAATTAAACGAAGCTTGTGGTTCATTTGCTAATAGTTTTGAATCAAACCACTAACTCTATAGGCATTAATCTCAAAATTTTGTAAATAGAGTCTAGTCTATTACTTCACAACTGTATCAAAGTTCAAAGTCTCCAACATTCAACTTTGTTACAGTTGACCGTAACCTTAGAGCAATAGCAATTATCTTCAGTCATATGTAAATGCGATGCACATTCGTCACTTATTTTATACGTTGAATTCGTTTTCTCGAGAAGAAAGTGACTCTGGTAGAGCTTGGCAGTGCTCAACTTTTATGCTGGGGAAGGTTGGGGTCCCAACAAATGCTGACATTGAATGGCTTGTTGAAGCTGAGCGTATACAATCCTGCTACAATATTTGGCATTCATGTTAGTTCTAACCCCATCAATCTCATACACTCGGATATTCCTATAGCAAGTGGTCAGGTAAGATTTCTGTCCGTACAATTTCCATTTATTGGAAATTGTTAATGATTCATGAAATCCCAGCCATGTTTGGTTTTACGCAATGAAGTGAAAGTCTTATGAAATATATATGATTGCAGCTGAAGAAATATTAGCAGCCAAAAAAGAGCCGTTGAACTGTAACTGTGGTGTTGGAAGGGACAAAGTTCCACTTTATGTGGCTGGATCAAGCTCAACATTTACACAAAATGGTGTCGAAATTTCATTGGTACTGAAGTTTGAAGTCCACTCAAGAGGAAATGTGGTTGGAAAGCTTGTGAGAACAAAGCACCGAGTCAAATTTCCTGCCCATTGGTCATTGATTCAACAAGAACCAATCCCATTAAATTCAAGGACACATGCACATATGAACAGAGTCTTTTCTATATGGTGATTTGTATCATTGAATCTCCTGCAGTTTGATCAGTGGCTGACCATTGAAACAATTTGTACCAAAAATTTCTCCTTTCACTCTTCTTAAGAGAGAAAAGATCCTTGCTGCTAAACCTGGTATCAGCAATCATTTGTCACTTATGGCCAATATTGAGCATTATTTGAAACATAAAAAGGTATCAGAATAAATATAACCTGACAACTCCATCTAATATCATTCAAGGCAGTCATAGACAATGAATATCCTGTGATACAACTAGTAGATAAATAGGGCTTTACTGGCAAGCATTTTTGCCACTTGATTGGTGAGCTTTGGGCAGCAAATCCGTTGAAGCTCCTTTTATGACTTCTGATTTAAGGATTTGCAACAGAGCCGCACAAACAGAAAGACAGATTAAATAAATGAAAACGATCAAGAAAGGCTAATCTAAAAAGAAAAAGCAAAGAATAATATCTGAACAACTTCTTCAAGCATACTAAGATGGTGAGATGATAATGGTAAGTATTCCACTTCAGGAAGTGATCCCATGCACTCAATGTAGGCCTGCATTATCACCATGTCAACTGTTAATTCATTATCCTCATCATGGTAAACATCATGCAGCCAGCTAGCTACCCTTAAGAGGTGGGAGGTTCAAATTCCGATTAATACAACCTCTTCTCTCATCTCTCATACTACCATCTCTTTTGTACTAAAAAATATATATAAATCTGATTAACAGGCCATCCGATTCTGATAAGAAAATCAACCAATGCAAATTGTGGCCAATCTCGGCACTCTTTGAAAGTTCATTATTAAGCTACAATGAAAAAAGCATGCCTTTCTATCTTCCTTGGCAACTACAAACCATAAGATCAAGCTAAGCATGAGAATGAAGGAAATTCCAGAAAACGGTAGGAACCCAGACTTTGCCATTAATTGTTATATATTGATGGTATTTTATATCCAAATCAGCACAGAAAGGAAGGCAAAAGTCCTTTCATAGGTAAATAATAAAAAGGGAAACATGCATTGAATTCAGCTCTACCAAGTTTGCCATAACAAAGACCAAATGGTCTGCTTCTGGTTTCTCCTTCATGCGAAAGTATGCATTAATTGTTGGTAGGAAAGGTCAGGTTAATTCATTTTTTTGCTCCCTTCTATTAACATCGATTTGGTACCAGAAAATTAATCACTATAGGTTCTGCTCTATTTGCGAGAAAAGAAAGTCTGTCGTTTGCTGAATTCATAAATCAGTACGAGTTAATTTTGAGTAGATTTCAATGATTTTTTTTCTTTTTTGTGAAACATATATATGATTTTATAAGTGTTTTATATCAATAAAATTTAAAAGGGAAAGAACACAAAGTTAAAAAAATAAATTCTATTAATATTAGTGTAATTAATGATAGTTTTAATTTATAAAATAAAATTGACAAAATATTCAACATTTTTTTGTTGCAAATATTAGTGATTTTCAAGATGGATAACCATACACATACTAAAAAAATAATATTGACTTTATATGATTTTTTCTCTTATATATATATTTTTCGAATATAGATTCAACTGCTACAAACATCATACTTCACATTTCAATAATTACTTGTAAACAATAAAAAACCAGTCCATTAAAAAAAAATGAAATAGTTTACCTCTAAAATTTCATTTGAATGCATGGTGAGAGGAATTTTCGTTCTGTTGCAACTGTGTTTTATAACTTGTGTTCAATCATAAAACGATACTCACCCATCGCAATCAGACTCTTTAAGACATAATCAATGTGTAATGGGTGGCTTGAATGTCTCCCTGTTTTGACTATTAAGTTAGGGACGGGGATTTGTACTTCCCCCTCCCTTTTTGGATACTCTTCCTATTGCTGCTAAGGCTGATACAAGCAAATATCATCAAATCCCATATACTCGTTCCTTTCAATCCTTTTGATCATCTTAACAATGCCTAACCCACCTGTTTCATTTAAATAAATTTGTCAGTCAATAATAATATCATAGTTGAAGATATAAGCATTTTTATTCAAGAGTTTCAATCTGTGAAAAACCATAGTTAGTAAATGTTTGTATTCCCAATTGGATATAAAATACCTAGTGAAATCGCACTCCCAAAGATCATCCCAGCTAGAATGAAGATAATTATAGATGCTCTCCCTAGCATTTTGACGACTTTTCCCACTACATGTTGCCCAACAAATGCAGCAATTGTGGCCACAACAGCTAGTGAAAGAGCTGTTGAACAATGACAGTGAACAAGTATCTCTCTGAGTTTATCTAGGACTGACTTTGGCTTATTCCCATAATGAATCGTCACTGGCTTTGGAAACAGCTTTGCAAGCTTATCTGTCATGGATATTTCAACACTTTTTGAAACTTCTCCCTCTTCATAGACTTCCAACTGGTATGAATCCAAGTGCTTTTGCACCTCTTGGTGAAATTGCTCACAAGCTTCGATAGAGTGACCCATTGCCCCACTATGATATTTACAACTAGTGCCTACTATATATACTCTATGATAGCTGTGCGGACTCACTGGTTGTACCATGTTAGCTTTTCATAAAATATCAAACAGCTGACTAAGAGGTGTCTTAATATCTGCCACTTCTTTCTTCAAATGGCACTTCTGTTCCTCACTCAAAGCATTCACATTATGATTAGGCAAATGATTGCCACTAACATTTGGTGCAGTCACCCTTCCTATATCAAAGCTAATCATTCCATCCTTGATCAACCGTTGTACTTTGTGTTTCAAAGCAGTGTAATTTTCAGTGGAGTGACCAGCAATCCCATAATGATAGTCACAATGGGCTGTGGGATCATACCACTTAGGGTAAGGTGGCTTAAGGGGCTCTAATTTACTAGGAGCAATCAGATGACTGTCGTAAAGCTCACGATATAATTCTGTATAGGTCATTGGGATTAGGTCAAATATAGGCTTTTCATGAGTGGTTCGTTGCTCCCAAAAACCTCTCATTGGGCTGGCTAGACGGGTCTGAGGTCTTGAGGTAGGTTGAGTGTTAGGACTATATGTGGCATTCTGAGGTTTGAAAAAATGTTGATTTGTTTGAGGGTAGGATGGCTGTGAGAATGGTTGGTATGGGTAAGGGGAAGTGTTATTTACAGTAGGATGTTATGGAAGGTATCCTTGTGGTGAGTAGGTTTGATAGCCCCCAAATTGCTGTCTATCAAAGCTCATAACCTGAACTTCAGTCTCTTTCTTCTTTAGGGCTTTTTTGTTGGATGCTTCACCTCCTTCTAACTTACCATTCTTGATGGCACTCTTAATAATTTCTCCCAAAATTATCATATCAGTAAAATTTTTGATTGCATTCCCTATCATCTTTTCATAATAGAGAGGTTTCAAGGTGCTAACAAACAGTACTGTAATCTTTTTTTTTTCAGTTAGAGGAGGTTGTACCTAAGAAGCTACATCCCTCAATCTCTAGGCGTATTCTTTAAAAGATTCATTTGCCTTTTTTTTTTCAAGTTTTGTAAAGACAAACGATCAAGAGCTACATCTATAATATGTCGATATTGACTGATGAAATCATGAGCCATATCTCTCCAAGAATGAATGCAAGTTCTGTCCAGCTGGACATACCACATGGCAGCAGAGCCTGTAAGGCTATCTTGAAAAACATGCATTAGTAATTTTTTATTATAGGCATGGGCTGCCATCTTCTGATAATACATGGTGATATGAGTTTTTGGGTACTTCGTACCATCATATTTCTCAAATTTTAAAACATTAAATTTTGGTGGGATGACTATATCTGGGACTAAACACAGCCCAACAACATCAACAGAACCATAAAATTCAATCCCTTTTACGGCCCGTAATTTTTGTTCAAGCATACTAATCTTTGGATCTTCTTGAGACTCTATCACCTTTGTTTTTTTCTGCTCCTTCTTTTTTAAGTCATCTAGATCAGGAATCGGTTCTACTATCTTTTCAATAAAGATATGATTTACATAGCTATGGTAATGCCCTGGATTCGAAGCTGATGATATTTCGAGGTATACAGGATATGAAAACTGTTGTGGCAGAATATCCTGTGTGGGTTGAGCTTGTTGTGGATCGAAACTTAGAGAATACAAAGGGTTAGCCACTTCTTGTGATGGGAGGCCTTGTTAGCTTGTGTTTTTTTCTATTCTTTTTTCTTTGTTCAGCCTATTAAAAGCATCTAAAATCTTGTTCAACTCATTTTTAATCTTTTCCTGTGCTTTCTCTAACTTTTCAAATCTGTGAGAATTTTCTTGTTCCATTTATCTGGCTCTGGCTCCTGTGTTATATCGATGGATAAGATTCTCGCCAGATGAAGCTATCCTTGAACCTTGAATACCATATCTTAGGATTAGCAAATTTATATGACTATCTTATGGTTACTTTGTTAAGTGTAATGAGTGAGAATGCGATGAATGAAAATACATGTGTGCAAAGAACACTTACCTTAAGACGGTGCTTAACTAAAAGATTTCATTTATTTCAAAGAACTTTTATTTACATTGAGTTTATCATCCTAGAGTTATAATCATAAAATCATTTGATCTGCTCATATTAAGCCTTGGCTTCTTCGATAAAGTTCAATAGACGCTGCCCATGTTCTCCTACTGGGGCCACCACTTGTTTCAATCCTCTGCCTCTTCTACCATCTCTCTTGCCTTGCATACACTTTTATAAATTTAGGTTGCTAGGTGTTCAATGTACTTCTATCTTCTTAAGTTCTCTATTTTATCACATCAGACTTGGTATGATAACTCTCTATGCTCTCTAACCAATGCAGTAATATGGTTTTCTTGTTCATTCAACTTTTGTCTCAACCTGCTTAGGTAGCTATTCAACATGTTATTCTCTGTCTGTACTTAGGTACTTTTTTCTTTTCAGTATATTCTTATTTCAATCTTGCATTCTCTTCAGTCAGCTCAACAATTGTTATCTCTTTAGCCTTTTCTCTCACACATAACCTTTTATGTTCTTGGTGTAGCTTTGCTAGGTCTTCAATAGCTGTATCACGTTCTCTACCAATCTTGTACACTCTGGCTTCATGTCTTTCAGCTTTATCTTTCCACTAATCTTTTTTTTCTCGAAGCTTCTGGATTTCTTGCTTTAACTTATCTTTTTCAAACTCAAACTCTTTTGTCGTAAGCTCTAATTCTGATGATGTCACTTCAAGCTTTCCTCCTGTTGGTGGTTGAAAGCTTTCATAAATAAATACCATTTTTTGTCTTTATTTTACTTTCCAAGGTAAATACCCTAGAGTGACTTTATCAGTAAACGATCCAGGGCTCACTCTTCGAGGGTTTTTCCATGCTTTAATCATCTCATTCATCCTCTGAAATGCTTTTAGCTCACTGTAAGAAAAATCTAATTGATGAAGCCTATACGTCATAGGAATAACTGTTTTACCCCGAACTACCTTCTCACTAGAAGAGGTGCATAATTTGTCGCTCCCCCATAAACCCAAAAGTGGGATCACTGTATTATCCCTACACTGATACAACATAGGTTCACGATTCATCCACGAGACTAACCATCTTACTTCGGTATTGATCAATTTTTATAGAAAAACTATCCATTCCTTTTTAGAGTTTTATTCTGACCACCCACTTTCACAGAATTCTTTGATCGAAGCTCAATTACGTACATAAAGCTTCGAGAAAGCACTTTTTCTCCATTCGAAGTGGTTTTTCATCCATAAGTATAATAACTGTATGCAGCCTATAAAATGCCATTCATTTTGACGACAATAACTCAAAGATCTGATAGTCTCTGTTAATAATACCGTTGAATGGTTACAGCCATTGATCACACTCTTGAAGAAGTCAACCACCGCTATTTCAATATAACCCAAAACTTTTGAAAATATCACCATTTCGTATATGGCTAAGGCAAATACATCTAACCATTGTTCTTCGTTGGCATGTTACACTAGAAACTCATGAAAAAACTTTCAAGGTAGGCAAACCTGTTCTTGTTTCTTCTTTGTATGAAAATTCACAACTTCTTTGTCTATCCCCATGAGTCGAGCCAAACCCTTACGAAATCCTGACTTGTGTTTTTTGACATATATCTTATCAGAAGCCTTGAGGTGCAAACCCAACAAAGTCAAATATTCTTCGATGGTTGGTATCATGTCAGCTTCATTGAAGATGAAATACTTGTATGTAAGATCTCAGAATTACGCTGTAGCTCTGATTAGTTGATCGTCGATAACTATTGCGAGAAGGTGTGCTATATGCCCGTGTCTCTGATAAAATTGTTCTTATTTTGACGGACTCATCTTCTTCCATATATCAACCAAGTCTTCTAGATTATTTTGTTTGAGAAGGATAAATGTTTCTTGAGACAAGGTAGAATCATATCCGATTGGTAAGCAATCACCTATCTTCAGTTGAATTTTTTCTAACTGGACCCTTACTTCGTTGGGTGACTCGCAAGGAGCTAATATAGATGAAGAATAAACTAGTCGTTCTATGGAGTTCATGAAAAATTTATGTTGAAGACCGTCTTTCAAGCAAATATTCTTTATGCAACTTTATGATATGAGCATGAACCAATACAAAAGAATGAGAGAAAATGTTAGTATGCCTAGAAAAAAAGGAATAAATAAATAACTAAGTAAATTAAAACATTACACAGAATAAGAGGAATGAACCCTATGCTTTTGGTCAATTCTAAAAAGGAAGGCTGATGGCTCTATCTATAGGTTAGGCATTTTTAAGGTTCACTATATGTGGTTTAAGGTTAAAGTCTAAAGGTTTTCAAATTGCTCCTTACATTATTGTCCATCACAGACTAGTAAGGTACCCTAATCCTCACCCATTACAGGCTACAAGTGAAAAATGTTCAATTTGAGTGAGAGTATTTTGCTAGCCATTACGAAGGCATTAAACCACACGAAAGCAATAGGTACTTTACTTCCTCTTAGAGGGACGGAGCTCGGGTATAAAGCTCATGTTATGCATATGCATATGAATGACATAATTAATAAAGTAAATAAACATGAATGAATAAAAGAATCTATACAAAAGGTTCAATTTTATTAAGCTTTCGGATAACAAAAATTTATTTGCTGGCCTAACTCTCAAACGTCTTCAGTGGAGTCGTCAAATTGTCATAACGTCTAAATTCGAAGATCTATTGCTAGACATTGACTTGAAGAAGTCGCCACCATTCTTTTTTATCTAGGTGCGATTGGTCACCTAAAGGAATCTATCCTTTTAAGGAACACCTAAACTAAGGGTCCCCAAAAGAATAGGTTCAGGTCTAATAACCAGAACAGGGTTCGAGAGTATGATTACGTATGAAAAAGGTTGTAGCACCCTCATAACGTCCATCGAAATATGGTACCCGCTTAATTTTATATTATTCAATAAGCCTTACAAATTTATCAAGTAATTAATTATTGAAAATTATTCTCAATTGACTCTAATACTTTTAGCAAAAAATTGAAAAAATTTTCTCACCTTAAGAGTATGCAAGGAGACTACTGTTTCACTTGTAGAGGCTCTATCGTCGGATTATTTAACATTAAAGAAAATTCAAGAAACAAAAATGAAAAAATGATTCAGCTTTAGGTATAAATCCTTTTTTCTTCAAAAACTTTGCTTTTGTACAAGAAAAATTGATACTTTCAACTTTTCCTCAAAAACCTTTTTTAGAAAATTATTTTCAAAGAAAATTGATATTTTTAACTTTTCCTCAAAAATATTTTTTAGAAAACTTATTTTCAAGAAAAATTGATACTTTCAACTTTTCTTCAAAAATATTTTTTAAAAAACTGATTTTCAAGAAAAATTGATACTTTCAACTTTTCCTCAAAAATATTTTTTAGAAAACTTATTTTCAAGAAAAATTAATACTTTTAACTTCTCTTCAAAAATATATTTTTTAAAATTTTTATTTAAAGAAAAATCAAAAATAAAATAAAATAAAAATAAAAATAGAATAAATAAAATAAAATAAGAAATACTAAATAATTCAAATCTAATCAATAAATAATAAAAATAAATAAATAAATAATAATAAAAATAAAAAACCTTGGAACGGCTCGACTTAGCGGCTCGGGAGTATGCGGTTCGGGGACGGCTCGGCTTCGACTTGGTTCGAACCTAGGTGAAGAAACGGGTCGCTAGATCGGGTGCGCTACGGGTTAGGTCTTCCGAATGGGAACGCGCGGATTCTGGGGTTTTCTTAAGCGCAAAATGACATCATTTTAACAAGGTATAAAAGGTTCTAACCTCAGTTTTTTCAACAGATCTCCCATTTTCTCTCTCTCTCTTCCCTTCCTTTCTTCCTCTCTCTCTCTACCCGAACCAAGAACTCCGGTTGAATCTCATCGGATTCTAAAAAATATCATTAAAATCTGAGTTTTTTATTAAAAATTCACTGAAAAGTTGATCGGTTTTTGAAAATAATATGTCGAAAACTGGGTAGCTGGCTGAAAAATTCAATCGGTGCCTGAAAAACCATCGAAAAATTCACCGAAATTTAAAAATTTTTCAAAAATTTCCAAAAAATTTTGTCTAAAAATCCTCCAAAATCTCTAAAAAACTCATAAAATTGCTTCTGATCCTTTTGAACGCCTCTTTTTCTTTCTCTTTTCGCTCTCTCTCTGTGTTTTCTGTGTTTGTTTCGGCACCTATTTATAGGGATTGATCAGAAGAGTTTCTGATCAATCCCAATTCCCTCTGGGATTTGGATTCAATCTTTGAATCAAATCTCAACTCTGCCAGCCCCAAATTCAGGCCAAAATTTCAGTTTTTTTTTTATCCTAATCCCAATCGAAAATCAATAAAAAAAAATAAAAAAAATATTAATAGATAAATAATAATATATGAATAGATAAATAATAAAAAAATATTAACAGATAAATAATAAAATATGTTAATAGATAAATAATAATAATAAAATTATATATTAATAAATAATAATAGTAATAATAAATAAATAAAAATAAAAATAAAAAATAAAATTACAAATGAGCTTATCAATTTGGACCAGACCCAATTAATCTGAACCTGGATCAAATTGAGTGTCTACAAATATAATTTTCTATTTATTAGTGTTTGGTTGGAAAGATTAAAAAAATTAAGAAAAAAGAAATCTTCTTTCATCTTGGTAGAGTGGAAAAATGAAAAAAAAAAAGTTATATTATTTTATCATTATAATGTTTTAAAATTAAGATAAAAAAAATTTAATACAATGAACAATTTGTAGATATGTAACAAACACCTTTACGAAGAAGCTGAAAAATACTAGATGTTGTCAACGGTGGAAATTGGATTATTCTTACATTTTGATATTGCTGTAGATGATTTGGGATCAAACCCAATAACCAAGGCAAGCATGGGAACAAATATACCGCCTCCACCTACACCTCCAACACTCCCAAACGCTGCACCAAGGAATCCAAGTATTGAACCCACCACAATTTTCCAGCCAAATCTCAGGTCCTGTATTAAAATATTTCACAAATCATAATTACTCAAAATATCTCCGAGTCAACAGACAATTATTTAAAGCCAAAGAAAAAGAGAGAGGGAGGGAGGAGAAGGCAAAAACAAAGAGAAAAAGGCAAAATGACATTGTAGACTTAGGCTTACAAAAGTCTTAGAAACACAATAATTTTGTTTTCTCAAATTATTAATATTGAAAAAATAAATCAGATGTTTAAAAGATTGCAAACATGGGGAAACTCCAAAAAGTGTTAAATCAGGAACAACATAAAAATTGGACTTACAGGCCATTCATGTTCATAACGCGGTTTATTGTTCTGCTCTAACAACTTCAATGATTTCCGAACATAGTTGTTCTCTTGAGTCTCATTATAACCTGAAACTTCATTTCTCAGACTTAGTTCTGCTGTAACAAGCACTAAATCCACAGCAAGAAAACCAATCAATGTTATTTCTGTCAATATCAACCGCCATCCTTTTGACCGAGCAGCCATCATATCCAATTTTCTCAAACTAAAGATGAATCCGAAGCATAAAACAGACAGGACATATGCTGGGAACTCAAGCTTCGTCCAAAGTCCAGTTTTCAGACATAATTATGCCCCATGTTAAGTACAATCTATACAAACTTTAATAATTCTTTTGTCAGTCTTTAAAATTGCAGCCTCTATAGTTCACATTCAAAACTATTCCAAGTAGACATTTTTGGAAGCTGCAGGCATGATTATAGACAAACAAATATACACAGCTTGTTCTTGACTGCTTTTGTTTCTAGCTGGTTACTGATGTATGATCACAAAGCAAAAGAACAAAGCAGATGCATGGGAACTGAGAAGAAAACAAAACAGGGGAAAGGAGGGAATTCTGCTGTCGATTTGAAATTGTCATTCAAGGAACTGTTGTGGCTTTTTTTTAAACTTGGATTGACAGTCACATTTAAGCCATACATGTGTACAACTTATTGCCCAGGCAGCAATAACAGAAGCTAACTCAACTACCAATAACCTCAAGTCAAAACTAAACTTAACTAAAGTTAGCAGTGAAGACTGAGGAGAGAACAGAAACGTAAGTTCTGCACAGCATATTAAGCACGCTGCCGTCCTTACTTTTCTGCTCTTGAATTCAAGATGATATCCCTAAAATGATGCAGTTTTTCTTGGAAAGTGATTCTCGAGATTTTATATATTTAGTAATAGTTTCGTCTGGTGGTCGTAGTGTTCACATGATTTTTCAGTGAGGATTGTACAAATAGATTGAACCAACAGTAATGCCAACTGAAGATATGTCCATTTGTGTGATTTGGGGTTCATTTTTAGAGCTTCAAACACGTTTTTACAATTTCCTTTTAGCATAAAATGTTAGTTAAAGGGATTTTTTTCCCTAATTGCACAAAATTGCATTCTAAAAGTGATTTATTCAAAGATTCATTAATTTTTTTTCTATTTGAATTTATCAAATTTATATCTTATCACTAAAATTAAAAATTCAGTACTTCATAAATACATCACGTAATTATTGACAAGGTTCATTCATGTTGCATCTAATCCTTTATCATTTATTTTTGGTACATACGACGTAACCTAAGTCTAATTATCAAAACCTAGGACCTCAGCTACGAAATCCTGTTTGCTTATATACTCTGTGAAAACGTGCGTTAAAAGGTATGAATATACATATTTCGATCCGATTCTTTATCTGCTTCATTTAAAAAAGAAATTATAATTTGTGAAGAATTTATATATGATGAATTATCTGTGTATAAATTTTATATATTATCAGTGAATTTAATGATATCATCTAATTAGTAAAATAAATCAGATGATGTTATTTTATTAAAAAATAAATTTTTTAAAAAATATTAATTTTTGTATATTTATTTTAAAAATTGATATTTATTCATTAATAAAGTGATATCATTTTATTTATTGATAATGTATAAAATCTATACATTAATAGTATATTAAATATAAATTCATTTGTGAATTCAAAATTTGAGTAGCTGAAATTTGCATTTAATTATGCATGTACGTCGCTTTACAAACTAATTAATTCGGTTGCTTAATTTCTGTTTCTAGAATTTTGTTTATGAATTGCCAAGAAAATGGGAATATTCATTCAAATGTATTTGACATGTTAGTATAATTTTATAATTTTACAAACAAAATTAAAAAATTGACGCATATTTTGCTTTTTAATTAATTTTTTATATATCATTTTATTAATCCAGTTTAAAAAGTCTATTACCAATATATGAAATAAAATTTTACCTTTTAGCTTAAAAATTAAAAAAAAATTATTAAATAAAATTTTATTAAAATTTTTTAACTTCATAAGCGATATTAACATAATGACACATATTTCCTTAATATAAAAAAAAACCTAATAAAAAAAAGTGACACATATATCATTCTATTAATCTCAATTGTGAAATTAAAAAACTCTATCTACAATATATCAAATAAATTCTAAAAAACGAAAGGTAAGCATTTTTTTTTTTTTTTTGTTCTCTCTAGCTGCAAGTGATCACCAACATTTTTCTGGCCTTTGCCAATTTATATTATAACCCTGGAAACATTTGGCAAAAAAAAAAAAAAGACAGTTCTCATTCACATTTAGAGTGTGGCAACCAAAGTGCTAGCTATTAATAGTTTGATGGAGATTGAAGAGCTTACAAGAAAATAATTCAAAATTTTCGATTATTAGGGGAGGCATGTGAAGATATTGTAGATTTCAAATCATTTTCTGGTCCATGTCATGCATTAGTTGTTTTTGATTTTGAGTTACAATGAAGTTTTTTTGGGAACATGACCAATCTATAGTTTTGCGAGAGCAAAATAATAATTTGAATATGACACTTCAAATTCCAATAGGAAGAACAAGGTAGATTAATGCATCATCAAGGACAAAAATCTTCAACATTAAGATTGAAGACAATGTGATATATATGGATGGGTAGAATCTGACAACTTTATAGTGATTAATTTGATGAATTTCATTTGTTTATTATTAGGTATAGAAATCATTAAAGACAGGTTTTTCATGTGATGTTTCATTTCAATATTCATTTCAAAGATAAGGATAAATCTAGTAAAGGGCATCCTCAGGTATAGATATATCAAAAACAAAACAAAACATTTACTTTTAATTTATATTCAGACAAATACACGTCATTTTCAACAAAAAAGTTGTCAAATAAAAAAAAAAAAAGAAATTATTAGATAGGAGCAGCTTGAGGTAGAACAATATCTATGAACATGAAATACTTGTACATTAGAGAAGCTACTTCTTTTCTAGCTTGGAAAATAGTTGAGCTTGTGAACATGTACACCTATAAATATAGTCGTCAAACCTTTAAAACTGCGAATATATATATACTAAGTTTATTATTTTTAAGAATTTTATATAATATTTTTATAAAAGAGATAACAAATTAAAAATATTAAAATTTAAATTTCAGATTCGATAATAACATTAATTTGTCAACCACAAGAATTCAAGCATTGATGATGAGTGACCTGCTATTATTTGAACCAAACACTTAATTGTACTCTTTCTGTAGCTACTAACTAAAATTTCTATTTTAATTTAAGTTGTTAAGTCAAAAACCTCCCCATCATCAATTAGATAATCAAACAAGCGAAAGCACAAAAAACAATCAATTATTTACACAAAAAATAACATTTTAACATGATTTAGCTCAACTTAAAGTGATTTATATCCACAAATGAAATAAAAGATCTATTAATTACAAAGAATTATAAACAATCAAATAATTATTTATAATCAATACTCATGAACATTTTTCTTTAGTTCTACGAAATATTCTCAATCCAAATAAATATTCATTACATACCTATCTATATGGATCATCTCATTCTTTTTTAATCTATTTACAAACATTTAAATGTACACACTCATTCTCATTTAATTCACTTACAAATATTCAAACATATACACTCATACAAGTTGTCTTAAAAATCTTACTTTCTTATATTTTTCTCTCATACCTAACTTCATTAAAACTTTTACTATTTATAAATATGCTAATTTAACTATTAAGAATTTCTTTTAATTTTTTTTATAAATTTTTTTTCCATCAAATAATATCTAACTAATCTTGAAAAAGTTCCAAATAAATCTTGTATGGAGTTAAGTTACTATTACTAACAATTTCGTTAGTTTTTTTACCTCTTGTTTTGACATTAGGTATAGAATATGAAAAAAGGAAAATATGTATAGAACTTGTAAGTTTTCGTATCTCAAATAGAATCAAATTTAAAGTACTTATCAAACCAAGCTTAAATATATATATATATGTAAGTTTTTATGGATGATTTTGAAATTCGAGTTTTGAATGTTTTCAATTTTAATTTAAAAAAATTGAACCTCAAATGCCAAAAATGCCTTGGCTAATGCTAAAGTGAAACACTCTCTTTTCCATTTTTTTTTTCTCAACATTATTAAACAATTTGTTAACAAAAATTGAGGCAATCGACACTGTTTGGTATATATTGTTGGACTGCAATCAAATTCCATTGTAAATACATACAGGTACTTAAGCACTTAATTCACTCAACAAATTGACTGCATATCGTTTAATTGTGATGTATTCTTAGAATTTTGGTTTTTATTGCACAAGAATAATTTTAATATATGATTATCATAACAATAAATTTATAATAAAAAAATAGTAAGTTTTTAAATTATGATTTGATAATTTTCAATTAATTAACATTTGAAATATAACAAATTAATTTCCATATATCAATCTTCAAGATCAAGATTGAACAATATTTGACTAAAATCTAAAACATTTAGAATGTAATATGACTTTGTATGCACAGAGAGAACCTCTGTTTGTTGAAATGAAATTGATAGATAAAGCATCAATGATAGAAATAGCTAGCTTTATAAGTTCTTTCCAATTTATTTTTAAATGAGACTATTAAGATTTAAATTTGATTATTAAAATTAAAAATTCAATACTCAATTCAGAGACTATTGATATGACCAACTACCAAAAGAGCATTGTCATTATGTCATCCATATAATTTGAGGATTATTTTTATTCAATTAAACAAATTAATATGATCCATGCTTTCAATAAAAGTCTCCGAAAAAGAGAAATTATTAGATAGGAACATCTTATTAGGTAAGATTCTTATTAGGTAAAAATATTATGAATTAATATTTTTTAAAAAAATTTAAAAATAAATATTTTTTAACTTATTTACAATTATTATAACTATTAGTATATAACATATTTATACTAACAAATATTTATATATCATCAAAAAAAATTTACTAATAATGCTAATTTTATAAATATTGATATAAGCACTGTTTATACTGACAATAATAAAAATTCGTTAATATAAATATTTTTCACTTAAATAATTTGACTATTAATATATATAAGTGTTAATATATAACATATTTATATCCACGAATAGTTATATATTATCAAAAAAATTATTTATATTGATGATTTTATAAAATATTAATAAATATATAGTATATTCTGACAATATTAAAAATCTGTTAATAAAATTTTTTTTATATATAATTTGATTGTAAATATAATCAAACGATAGAATATTAAAAAATTTTGTAGTGTACCTTGGTAGAAAAGATGGGTTCCAAACCAGCTTTTCAGGTGCCGGCAGTCATGGGCTCAAGGACGGCACGAGCTAGCGGCAAGAAGAGGGCGGCATGTGCTGACGATGTGGAAAGGGTGCCATGGGCTGGTGGCAAAAAGCGAAAAGAAAAGAGGAGATGAGAGAGAAGAAAGAAGAAGAAAAAGAAGAAAAGAGAGAAATTGATGAATTAGGGATTTTAGTCAGCGAAGAAAGGAAAGGGGGAAAGGAATTTTTACATTTAATTGACTTTTAGCAAAGGATTACTGACGAATTTTCCGTCGATAATTCAAAATTTTTTCAACTTTTAGTGACGGGTTACCAACGTCGATATTTCTAACTTTTAGCAATGAAATCCATCTCTAATTAAATTTTTTTTTCCTAATTTAATTAAAAAATATTTTTATTATTTCAAATAAATTTTTTTTTATCAATGGAAAATATTTATCTGTAAAGAACATGCCAAATCCTCATTTTCTCATGGCAACTTCACCTACAAAATACTAAACGGATTATTTTTTGTTGCAAAAAAAATTCTAATTTTTTTAAAAATTTTTTGTCAATAAATCATTGAAAATCCATCAATAATTACTAACGAAAAAATTTCGTCGATATTAAAGAGATTTCTAGTAGTGTCTTAAGAGTTGTATAATATTTGCCCAATTGCTTTCTTTCCTTTTATTTCCATTTCGTTGTGAGAAATCGTTTTCTTCACATTTCTTGTTGGGGGTGTTCTACAAAGGAAAATGATCAGTTGAAGTAGGAAAGAAATGGTGGCTTGGGTTAAAGGAACAAAGTTCAAGAATACCAAAGCAGAAGCATAACTGGTCAAAGACAATACCAAAGCAATCCTAAAGAATGAAACTCGTAAAAAATGAACCTTAAGATCCAGATGTCCCAATGAATTATTGGCATGGATAATAAAAAAAAATTGTTGAAGAAAAATCAGCTAAAGAACTGTTTTACAGAAAAATGAATCAAGGATGAGAAGTATGATCCAAGGGGTGGCAAGTTGTGGCACAAGATTTGGAGAGCAAGGGTTTCTAACAAAATTTAAGATTTTTGGTTCGAGGTTGTGTCATGACCTCCCCCCTCTCTGTGGGAACTTGTGGAAGAAGAGGAGACAATGATAGATGTAGTCAAGGAGTGTTTATTTGCTAATGAGAGGCAATTCAAACCAACTTAGAGGAGGCTTGGGCGAGTATTGGTGTTTCCACTGCTTATAATTGGTTTTCTGTTGTGGCAACCCAAGTAGACCAGAAGAATTTTGGCAGAGGTCTTGTTATAAGTCACTTGTAATAACCTGGGCTGTTTGCAAAAATCGGAATACTGAGGTAAAGAACCATGAGAAGAGAAGTCCAAACATCGCTGCTAGTTTTGCTATGAATTAGCTGGAACAACATCATAAGGCTCAAGGAACCAATGATAGCAGACCCTCTCGAGCTAAAGCTAAACGGCAGAAACCACCTTTGGATTTTGTCAAAATCAAATTTGCTGGTGCTGTTATATACTGATGAAGCGTTGGGAGGTATTGGTGCAGTGATCAGGGGTGTGGATGGGAACGTTCTTGGTGCGTGCTCCACTACACATGTAGCAGTTTTAATTGGATGATTAATATATTTTACTCCTTTAATCTTAGGTAACTTGTCCAACATGCAATTTATGCAATAAGAATATGGGGCGGCCAAATTGATTTGAACCCACAATCACTGGTACTCATTTCAGTGGCTTTTTTAAATGAAAAGGTGAGAGGCAGAATTAATCTAAAATTTTGGAAACCAAAGAAATGATAGAGGGTCAAAAAAAAAAAAAGAAGCAGAGCATGGGTTCTGTCTGGCTGGTCCCACGTCTTCTTCAATGCTGAAGTGAGGCCAATTAGGCAGATCCATGGGGATGGGCTCGAAGCCAGCATTAAAAAAGGAAGGATTGGGCTTGGCCAGCGAGTTTAATCATGCTTCTCACTTTTCACTTGACACTACAGTGTCGGAAAGATATTAAATTTTTAAAATTCAAAATTTTAATACTAAACACAACATGACTCACTCTAAACAAATAGTTTACATGCTCAAAATACTCACTTCCTTTGTCAGGTTTTAATATGGAAATAGCATATGTTAAGCTTCAACCACTTATAGATGTATACAAGTCACAAATTTTCAATTTTCTTTTCAGTGGTTATCAAGATTATAGGTTAGCCCAGACCTATTGAGATCAGAGGTAGAAAATCTATGTACACCGCTACCTGGAAGCACAAAGGAGAGAAACCAAGTGGCTTTCATTGTAGCATGTTTCATTTTCCTAGTCTGGCGACCACACCCACATTGGTTTGATGCTTTGCCAACTTGGTTTTGTGAGCACAATCTGACTTTCCATGTTCAGTAAAGCAGAACTGCAGGCTTGTCAGTCATCAATTGCCATACATGGAAAAAGCTTGTAGTACTTCAACATGTGCATTAAGGATTCAATGCATCTCAAAGCACAAAAAAATTTATGAAAGTACAGAAGGAAAGCTGAAAGTAATCATGGAACTTTGTTTTTCCAGTTTGTGTAGAATTAGCTGCAACAAAAAAATTGCCAGTCATAAGTCACCATCGCAAACCACTTCATTCTCCTTTTCTTTTTTTTTTTTAATTTTCGTCAATTTAAGACTCAAAGCAACATCAAATTTGACGGCTTCAATGTCCTGAAGATTGAAAAAATGCAGGCTATTTTCTTCTGTAATATCTTTCGGACTGCATTTTCAGAACTTATAAAAAAAACAATTTAAAACAACAGATCAGATTTGTAATCTTGTAAAGGGAGTTGTTCATTTGGATGCATCGAAACTTTCATTTTAAAAGTTCCAAGAAGTAAGACAACAAACAACATTTAACTACCTAACTCTTTTTAAATTCAATTATTATAGCATTAAAAATATGCGCCAAAAAAATTTGATTTAATAATATATGAATGATTTTTTCTCAAAGATAAAAAGTTTGAATTTCTGTTTCCAAATAAATAATAATAATTCACATCTATGTAAGAATTAAGCAATATGTCTATTTCAACTAATATTTTTTTATAATTAATATTATTAAAAATTAATTTTAATCATTAAAACTAAATATTTAATGTTTTATAACTAGATTTTATAACTGGTGGCGTTTACTTCAACTCATATGCTATTAATAATACAAAGTATCTACTTTGAGCTGTTAGTTACTGACTAGATATAATTGGTCTCGCCGTTGGTGGAATTAAAGGGGTTGAAAATCAAAAGGGGAATTACCCTTCACCAACATAAGTCCAAAAGATACAACAACAACTATAATAACAATAATAATAATAATAAATCTCAACCATTTCCAAACTTGTCATAAAATTATTTATGAAATTAATGTCAACATGAATTGCTATGTGAAATTCTTTAAACATTCTATTCACTGCATTTTCTAAAATTATTCTACTGATTTGTCGCATAATATAATTATCATCGTACACACTGTTCTTACACAAATAACAAATATAAAATTGCGATGTAATTTAAGTGGTAATCACATTTCTTCCTATTAAAAAGTTCATTCAAAGTGTTAAAAAGGCTATTTTATTTCTTGTAAAGTAATACAAGTATTCTACTAATTTTGAGGAAAGAAAAAAAATACATTATTTTAATTAAAAATATAAAAATTAAAGACGTGAATCATATAATAAATATGTATAAAATATAAAAATTATAATTTTATAATAAAATTAATATATCAAATATAAAATATATATTTTTATTTTTATTAAATTTATATATAAATTTTATTAATTTTAAATCATGTGATTTTTAAATTTTATGTTTGTTTTATTTTTTTTATCATGTTTAAAATTATCCTTATCAAAAACTTTCCGATAACCAAAAGATTAACGCAAGCTAAATATTGGGAAAAACACACAATCTAAATAAAAAAATAAAAAAAAAGAAGAAAAACTACTTGATTTATCAAATCCGGGAAAATCAAACCCCAAATCTGAATCAGCGAAGATGAGAGATTATAACAGAAAAAATAATGAACGCTATAGAAAATATAAACACATAGCCCCAAAACAAAACCTAACGGTCCTAGCGTTGAAATTTCCCCCTTCTTTTTATCTCCAAAATTCCTTTTTTTTTTCTTTCCCTTTCTCACTCATTTTTCTTTCTTGCCAAACACCACCTTTCCTTTTGGTTCCTTATATTCTTTTAACTTTTCAGTTCACATTCTTTGATTCTTTCTTCCCCTATTTGCTTTCCCACTAACTGATATATGATTTTTGTTATGGTGTTGATTTACAGTTGCCATGAGAAAGAGAGATTAAAAACACAATGAGTCTTCGATTGAGAGATTTATTTTTTATTTGATTTGTTATTTTGATTTGGCCGGAAAAAAAATGAACAGGCCAAAGCAGGTGACGGTTCGTGACTTGGTGGAGGAAGCCAAGAAGCGAATTGTAATTTTAGCTATATGCGTCGTCGGATTGTCCTATCTCATGTCACGTTAAGTTCTCAAATCCTCTTTTATGTATTTTTCATCTAATTGCTACTGAATTTACTGCATAATTCCGATTGCTTAATTATTCTTCTTGATCTTCGATTTAAATTTGATGAATGCTTTTATTTATTTTCTTGCTGTTTGAGTTCAGTTAGGGTTTTGACTGTGTTCAATTAGTGTTTAAAAAGAAAACTTATGTGCGATTTTGTTTTTAGGGGCTTTAATTTTTTTCTAACTCTCGTCAATTACTTTTTATGATGGAATTGAAATGCTCATTGTTTTGTAGCCTGCAGGTTGCAGTTTATTGGAGTTTTAAGAAAAATAAAAATTTGGTTGTTTAGAATTTTGGATTTAAGTTTTAGTTGGCACCGGGTTTTGGTGTTAGGTTTCGTATGTTGACTGGAATAATGGTTCTGTATACTACCATAGTTTAGTCAGTCCTGCATTTGACTGTCTAGGTGATAAATGTCCAGTGACAACGTCTAAATGTTTTAACTATTATAGTCCACCAGGTGGCACGGTTCTCTGAAACTAAAATTTTGAATTAACATTACTAACTTGATTAATAGATTTGAATTTAACGGTTCTTCACTTCAGTGTGCAAAGATAGATATGGATTCCTTTTCCTTTGTACTTATTACCTATAAGTATGGTATAATGCTATCAACTAATGATGTTGCTTCATACAAAATAATAGTAATTGTTTTCTGTATTGTTACAATGAGGTAAAAAAAAACTGCTCAGAAAACTCTTTGCTGGCAGCTTAATATAATGCAGTTAGTGGATTCTTTCATGGCAAAGTGAGGTGTATGATTAAGAATGATGTTTTCAATTCTGTTCTGTTTCAGTTGTTTGGTGTTTAATTTGTTAATAATATTTTTATCTTCTCTTGGGACCAAGACTAAACTCATGTGCCTGTCCTGGCTTTGTTAAGTCATTTCTTCTTTATGAACACTTTGAATTAACATTGTAGTGCAGGGAGGATATAGCCTTACAGATGAGTATTGCATGAAAAAGTTCATATATCAATGAGTATTTTTAGAAATGGGCAGTGCAAGAAGTTTCAAAACTACAACCTGACATGATTCCTTTTTTGGCCTTTCATAAAGCAGACCCCAGAGTTATGGGATATAAGATTTAGTTTTTTGTTGTTGTTGTTGACCTTAATTAGGTGGGAGTATGTTTATGTAACCACAAGAAATTGAAATTTATCGAATTCATACCTTAAATTTTACTAAATTTGGACTTGGAGTTTAAGGTTTTTAAATAGAAATTCTCATTTACATGGTTTCCATTAATTGGTTGCAACTTTTTAAATTGATACTTAGTCTTTTCTTGTGTCTTATATCAGTGACAAGCTCCTCGGTTTTGGTTAATTTGCCTGCTGCTGCCTCCTTAATCATTCTACTTCGGTATTTTTCACTAGATTATGAAATGCGGAGGAAAGCTGCTGTACACAACAGCAAACGTGCATCTACAAATGCATTGACTCTAAAGCAACCACTAGAATGTCCTAAAGTTGTTGAATCTGATTGGAGAAGGAAAGTAAATTCTCCTGTCATCGAGGATGCAATAGATCACTTCACTAGACATCTTATTTCTGAGTGGGTGACAGATCTATGGTATTCTCGTTTAACACCTGATAGGGAAGGCCCAGAAGAACTGGTGCAGATCATAAATGGTGTTCTTGGGGAGTTTTCAGATCGCATGAGAAATATAAATCTCATCAATTTACTCACAAGGTATAAGTCCATTCCACCTCTGTTTTTGTCATTATTTTAATTTAGAACTGATTAAGAGGGAACTAATCTACTTCTAGGATGATCCAGGTGTCACAGACTTAAGGAAGGGTCCTGAATCCCACATTGAACATAATAGGAGGGTCTCTGGGGTATAAAAGGGTTCACACCACCTCCGCCTTGTGAGGCGTCTTTTGTAGGACAAAACCGTGAAGCCAGGGGGTCAGAGCAGACAATACCTCACAAGGGTGTGAACCGTGGCAGGTAGGCTGATCTGGGACGCCGGAAGGGTGAATGCCCGGGTCCCAAAGCCGCGCGGGTTCGGAGCTTAAGTCTCGACCCGTGACAAGTGGTATCAGAGTCAACCCTAAACCGTTCGATCCATGCCATGCACCTCAAAGAGAGGCAGGCAGGGTGGCTAGCCTCCGTGACGAGGGCATCACGAGGTTGGGTGCGGGAGAATGTCACGGACCTAAGGAGGAGTCCTGAATCCTACATTGAACATAATAGGAGGGCATTGAGGTATAAAAGGGTTTACACCATCTCTTCCTTGTGAGGCGCCTTTTGTAGGACAAAACTGTGAGGCCAGGGGGGCCAGAGCGGACAATACCTCACAAGGGTGTGAACCGTGGCAGTCAGGCTGATCCGGGACTCTGGATGAGTGGATGCTCGGGTCCCGGAGTCGCGCAGGTTCGGAGCTTAAGTCTCGACCCGTGACACAGGGACCTTATTAATCTCATTTGTTCACCCTTGGAGCTTTTTCGTATCAATAAAGCAAAAATTGAAAAGCAGCAATCTGAACCACTTACTATTGAACATCGTGATACTGAAATAAGACGTGTCCTGGTTGCGGAGAACAAACTGCACCCAGCTTTATTCTCTGCTGAAGCTGAGCACAAGGTTGTTGAGTTTTTACATTGACCTCCCAATTATGCCAAAGTAGTCAATCTATCCAACATTCCTGCAAGAGTTATTATTCCTTGATTATATCTTCTACTAACAGTGCCTTGTGCCCTATTTATTTCAGGCGTTGCAACATTTGATGGATGGTCTCATTTCTTTCACATTCAGGCCTGAAGATTTGCAGTTCTCTCTCTTTCATTATATTGTCAGGGAGCTTCAGACTTGTGCAGTAATGCGACGAGTCTTAAACTTAGTGAGTCCAAGGTGATCTGTCTTTCTGTTTTTCTTAACTTCACTCAATATGTTGCTACTGTTCTCAACCATCTTGAACTTTGGTGACAGGTTTATAAATGAGAGGATCGAATCTGCTGTTATATCTATGACAAAGGCTAAAGGAGGATTTAATGCTGCACAGGATGCATCTCAATACAAACCAAATGGCTCTTCAAGGATCTCATCTGATCACTTTTCTAAGTTTCTAGATCCTTCTGTTACTGGTGTTGAACTTGTACAATTAAAAACTGATCAACATGGAGCTGCTGGAGGCACCACTGCAACTGACAACCTAAATGGAACACATCTTTCGAAGGATCCATTGCTTTCCATGGATACTCGATCTTCCTATTCATGGAGTTCTGTGCCCTTGAACTCTCAAACCGGTGTTGGAAAAGGTATTGAACAACATCCTTCAAGAGGAGAATGGGTTGATATGTTAGATCTCATTTCACATAGAAAGAATGAGGCCCTTGCTCCAGAAAATTTTGAGAACATGTGGACAAAAGGGAGAAACTACAAAAAGAAGGAAGGTGAAAAACGATTAATTGAGTAAGTTCCACAATGTTCCTCTGTTGGGATCCATTCTACAGTGAATCATTCAAAAGCAATTTCTAATACCAGAGAGAAGTATCCAACCAAGCTTAACTCTTCTGAGAGTCATGCTGGTCAATCTGCATTAACTGATCAGTGCAAAATAGAAAAATCATTCCCACATGAAGCTAGGAATGTATCATACAGCTCTTCAGTTGTATCTTATCAGGTAGATGATGAACGTGACCTTGTTGATTTGGAGGAGGTTGAATCAGAAAGCAGTGATTCTTTTACTTCCGAAAAAAAAGAAGAAACAGGAAATGTAACAGGTCTTGGTTCTCCTGGAACTAAAGTTTGGGATGGTAAGAGTAACAGAAATTTGACTGTTTGTTACATTCATCATCCACTTGAAAATCTTGAGGGTCGTATGGTGAAGAGGGCTGGTGGAAGGCATGTTCATTATGGAAGATTAACCAGAATCCCTTCCACCAGGAAAAGATCTAGATTGACCAGCCAGAAGCTGCCTATCTGGCAAGAGGTTGAGAGGACAAGCTTCTTATCAGGGGATGGACAGGACATACTTAATTCACCAAATGGACATGGAAAAGCTGATGATTCCAGTGATGATTCTGAGACTGAATTCTTTCATAGACTTCACAGTGGAGCAACTGCTACTTCATCTGCTGCTTCTATCTCTATTTCCGAAAGTCGTAATTTGACTACTAATTCCTTGCAAAATTCATTGGTGGTGGATTCTTTCTTTAAATTGAGATGTGAGGTACTGATGATCAGGATTGGCTTCATGCCTATGCTAGAATTTCTTATTCCTCTACTATTTACATGATTATTGCTGGATTATTTTCTATCACAGGTTTTGGGTGCAAATATTGTGAAGAGTAGCTCTAGAACATTTGCTGTTTATTCCATATCTGTTGCAGATGTAAATAACAATAATAGTTGGTCAATCAAGAGAAGGTGCGTAGAATGTGCTTTATATTTTTTGGTCTTGCCCTCCCATGATGCCATCTATAGCATTCATCCTTCATTGCATAGGCATCTCAGTTGGATTCATTTATTCATTCTAAAATGTCAAGCCAGTTATGCTTATATAGTTATATTCACCTCTATCACTGTTGCTAATATTTTTAATTGTTTTCCTTCATGTTCCGACATTTTGAGGAGCTGCATCAGCGCCTTAAACAATTTCCAGTGTATAAACTTCACTTGCCACCAAAGCAATTTCTCTCGACAGGTTTAGATGTTCCTATAATACAAGAACGTTGTAAATTGCTTGACGGATATTTAAAGGTTAAACACTTGAACTCACATATCGTTTTTCTTTGTCCATGTGGGTATATCTGTTGAACTGAAGTTACTTGAATTGATATTTTACTTCTATATTGAGGTTTCTTCCTAAAATATTTTTATTGGACTGTTTGATTGCTACTACTTCCTTCTATCCAAAGTGCCATTATGAGTTCTATCTGTAGTTTATATATGAGAAATAACTGCAGTATATGCTTTATATACTAGTTTTGCTTAACTTTCTTTTTTTTTTGGGAATTAATAATATTTTGCCTTCTTCAGAAGCTCCTGCAGCTTCCTACCATTTCAGGATCAATTGAAGTCTGGGACTTCCTAAGTGTTGATTCCCAGGTAGACTTCTATTTTCTTCTTATATGGAAAAAAAAGGATATTCTTTTATTTTTTTTCTGGGAAGAGAAAGGGGGGGGGGGGGAATCTCGGATTTTGTCCTTTTTAAACAGAATCTCTTATCATATGCATTTTGTAATGCAGACATATGTATTCTCAAATCCTTTTTCTATTGTCGAAACATTGTCAGGTAATTTAGATTTAATTTAGTAGACCGTGTGCATAGTTTTCTTTTTTTTTTTTCTTAACCTGTTTTTGGCTGATTCTATTTTTTTGGTTGCTTGGAAACTTTCTAGTTGACCTTCATAATAATCCATCTGACAAGAGCAAAAAGGCCTCAAATGTTCTGGGTCCTCTGATGGGTTCCTTGTCTACCAGGAGGGAACAGTTAGACACTAAAAGCAAGGAATCTGCATTGCAAATGAAGCCTAATCTTGCAACAGATGGATCAAGAAATGCAAAAGATGTGTCTTATTCTCCATCAAAAAGTCCCACTAAAGAACAGGGCAAGTCCTTTGAAGATTCAGGCAATGATTCTGATACTAGAATGCAAAATAATTCGTTTGTAAGAAACACGGGGAAGAATGTTAAAGGAAGAGAGAATGACAGAATGGAAGATGCTTCTGAGTTGCTTTTTGATACTGCTATGCAGTCAACCCTTCCTATAGAGGTAATCAGTTTAAGGTCAAATATTTTCTTTCCTCTATCAATATTTATAGAACTAATGTGGCTGTCATAACCTTGCTTAATGGAATGTAAAGCTTTCATGTGTCATATTTAGTATTTGCAAAGCAATTTGAAATTATGAGGCTTCTAACGCCCCTCAGAGGTTTTTAATGGACACATATTCTGTGCAGTGGGTGCCACCATATTTAAGTGTCCCCATATTAGATTTGGTGGATGTCATTTTCCAGCTCCAGGATGGTGGGTGGATCAGGTACATAAATGACTATAGAGCTATGAACTTATGTCAGCATTATAATTGATCTTCAGCTTAGCATTGTCTATCTAGTTCTAAATAGATACACGTTTTACCTTTCTTTGCATGTGCCTTTCAGGCGGAAGGCTTTTTGGGTGGCCAAACAAATTCTACAACTTGGTATGGGTGATGCTTTTGATGATTGGCTGATAGAAAAGATCCAGCTGCTGTGCAAGGGCTCAGTTGTTGCTTCTGGAATCAAGCGGATTGAGCAGGTAGTCATTTGATCTCATAAATGATGAAGAAATGATCTTTCTTTTGAAAAGTGTAGCAAATGTAACTGGTGGTAAAATCTTTTAATTGTATCAGAGACCTAAAAACAAATATTGTCCTGACCAAGTTTGCAATAGGATTTAATAGAACGGGCAGACTACCCCCCCCCCCCCCCAATGATATTAACTCAACCTTTGTGCTGGAACAAACGTTCTTTCTGGTGGAATTTTCGATACAGCTTAGTCTAGATCGTCATTAAAATACTTTTAAAACCCTCTTTAGGAGGGTTAAGAACAAGATCAACTAGGATTCTGTTTGATGTCTTATCTGGCTTAAATTTATATTTTACAACTTCTATTTTATCTGTCGGTGCCATGTTGGACCAGTTTTTCTTTGTATTTCTTTGTTTTTCTTGACATTACTACTTTAGGTCTTGTTTTCTGGGACTGCAAGTGGTTTGTCTTAAAATGTTTAGAACTTTTAAAAAAGAGCACCTATTATATGCTTGTAGACAGTTCTAATATAGATCAGCTGCAACTGTCATGCAGATACTTTGGCCTGATGGAATATTCATAACCAAACATCCAAGGAAACAACGTCCACCATCAGTCAGTAGCCCATCCCAGGCTTCACCTCATGGTCCACAGTGTCCTGAAATATCTTCACCTAGATTGAGTGATGAGCAGCAACAACTGGAAGCAAAACGTCGTGCAAAATTCGTTTATGAGCTGATGATTGGTAGTTTAGATTATCATGAATGTTTCTTGTTAATAATCTGCATTTTTAGAGGATTATGTTATTAAAATGAATCTTTTCAACCTTAAGAAAGCCAATGAACTCAATTTTTTCTCGATACAGACAATGCACCTGGTGCTATTGTGGGCCTTGTTGGTCGCAAGGAGTATGAACAATGCGCTAAAGATCTCTATTTCTTTGTTCAGGTAATTTAGGAGATACGAGACTTTATTTTCATTCTTTTAATGCAGAACATGGTCTTCTTTTCAGAAATAGCACTTAAATTAATCATAGGCAATTTATATGTGCTAGGTACTTTAGATCTGGTTTACTGCTGTGAGAAGTGAGGGATAGGTTATTAGAGGTAGAATATGATTGGTGCAAGTTGTTAGTGGCAGGATACTTGGTTTTCCTATTGTTGGGCCCAAATTGAAACTTTAGTGCGATTGTTACACCTCAAAACTCATTACAGTTATGATAGCTCATTCTTGACAGTTTTGCCATGCTCTCTTGTTGCAGTCTAGTGTTTGTTTGAAGCTGCTGGCATATGACCTTGTTGAGCTCTTGCTGTTGTCTGCATTTCCGGAGATGGATTTTGTATTCAAGCAGTTGCAGGAAGAAAAGCATAAGTTCGGTGAATTTAAAGCAAACTAGTCACATTTCAGATATGAGTTGAATTATAAAGATCAAACGGATAAAGTCTGGCCTGGTACTTTCCCTCTCTGGTACAATGTTTAGATTCACGTCTGCTGTTGGCCTTTGATTCATTGCATCTATAGAAGATATACTTAATTCATATTCCACAGTGTCAACATCATCCATTTGAGTTTGGTCAAAAATATATAATGGAAAGCTTGTCTTCCACCCAATGTTAACTCTACTGTTAGTTCTTTTTCCTTATCTGTTCTCTTTTTTTTTTTTTTTAAATATAAGGCTTATCTTTCCCCTTTTAAACATACATGTTTTGGTTTAGATTCAAATTTTGATTATTAATTTATAAATAAAATTTTTGTTAAAATTTTTAGTAAAATATCTGTCTAAAAAATAAATTAATATTGACAGTTTTTAATTTATCAATATAAAAATTTATTTTGATCTTTACAATAAAATTTCACAAGATTCGTTTAAATCTTACTCCATGCTAAAGGGAGTGCCTAATGGAGACACAATATCCTCTCTGTTGCCTTAAATTATAGAAGATATATGTGGGATTGGCAAAAATCACTGGACTTGAATAAAACAGTCCTCAAAGAAAGAAAAAAAAAAAGGATCCTAATTTTTTCAATTTGTTATTGACCTAATGGCTAAGTGACTTTAATGAAGGCATGTGGTCGTAAGTTCTAATCTCGTCATCCCTTTTCCCCACATTGTAAAGGTTGTCTTCCTATGAACAAAAAAAAAAAAAAAAAAAAAAGAAAAAACACAGGAATGACGGATCAACAACGTGATACTTGCCGACTGGTTATTGACCCAAGAAGTAATTTTATCAGCAACAAGCACAGAATGTAAGAGGCCTCAAAGAAAAACACAGAATAACTATTGATAAATACTACTGATAACTCAGATCTTAATGGCCTCCGCTCTCTATGTTGTATGGTAGACAGAACCAAGAGTATCTACACTTTAGTATCAACTGAAAACAGATTGTATCAAACTCTTCAACCATCTCATCTAAGATTAGGATGACCCAATGAACCCATATTCAAGCAACAATTCCGATGATGATGATGATGATACGAAAACACCATGTCTAAAAATTTTCAATTATCTTGGACAAGACTAAGGGCATCATAACCAAAACAAGAACATGACTAAACATCATCAAAAAAATTCTTCAGGTAATCAAGGGTCAAACAACAATGGCCTAATCCATCCTTGTTCAAAATTTAAAGCAACTACATAAAAAAAGAAACTAAAAACAACAAAAGCATCCAATGTACTAATGACACTCCTCAAGTAATGTTCCCGTAAAACTTTTCCTAACAAAGAAAGAATCAACCAAAACAACCTCATAACACCTTATGCAGAAGCTGCTGCGACCTTCCTCGGTGCTGCTTGAGTACCTAGATCATGATTAAACACAAAATTGAAAATAAGAACAAAATTTTATAAAAAAATCTTTAATTAGAACAGAATATGTTCACACCCTAAGAAAAAAAATTTAAACCAAAGTGCATAAGGAAATTAGGACTGTGTTACCTTCTCTGAAACCACTCTTGAACCTACGAGGGACATGGCGGAGGTACCTCATCCTACCGGTTCCAGTGGTCTTTCTACGGATTGCCTTCACACTCCAGTTATCTGAATTCCACAATAAAAATATTCCCCTTATATTTAACATTTAACATCTAATTACAATCCATTCAAACACATTTAACATCTAATCAGATTCCGCTCGCACATATTCGTTCAAGTACATGACACCCCATGGTAATTCCCACTCGAGTATCGCTACGACTATAAGCCCATTTCATGCAACATTAAAACTAATCGATACTAAAACCATAAACATAACTACGGGAATTACTATACAAGTTAATATTTTAGAAAGAAACAGATTCACACTCCTGTAAGTATACAAGCTCATGCTTTTATAAAGAAACAAAATCACATCAGCCCCTTTTTTCATTAAATTCAGGAAAATGAATTCTTATCATTCAAGGGAAAAACGCGAGAGAAAACTACAAACCCAGATACATACTCTGATCAAAGAGATAAACTTAAATAAATCGAGTACATTATAAAGAAACAAACCCAGAGAATCAACTAAACAAAAAGAAAACCAGATGCGGAAGGAGACTGAATGACACAGTAAGCAACAAAACAAAAACAAAAATCAATGTTTAGACATAAAAGAAAGAGGAGGGTGGGTCCTCACATTTCCTCTTACGGGCAGCAGGGAAACCACAGGCAGCGCAACGGCTCTTCTGGAGATGGAAGCTACGGCGGCCACATCTCACGCAGAGAGTGTGGGTTTTGTTCCTTCTTTTACCAAAACTCCCTGTTCCCTTTCCCTGCACATTACAATATCCATTTCATTTTCAAATATACAACCAGATCAGGAACATAAAAAGAAAGAACTTTACCATTGCAGCTGACGCAGGAGAGACCCTAAGATATGGTGTTTTAGGCTCTGAAGAAGAAACAGAGCGGCGGAGAGAAGATGGTTTATGCTAGGAGACCAATTGGAAGAAACTAATATGACGCCAACAAGGCTTTTTTAGGGTTGAGACGTGGCACAATTGGAACGGTTTGATTACTCGGATGGGCCTATCTCTTGGTTTTTATTGATACATTTGGGCTAATGCCAGAGCCCAAAATCAAACTTGGGTTGGGCCAAGAAATTTATCTATGTATTTACTATAATATAAAAATGTTCTTTTTAATTGGAATAGTAGTTTTGGGCATTCTACTAGCTTTTTTATTCTTTCTTTTCTCTACGACACTTTTTCCCGATGTGTAGCTAATGCAATCCAAAAACTGAAAGTACATGATTCTCCTGAATAGAACAGGACCTGAAACTCATCAGAAACCTACCATAAATCATAATGCAATTTCAAGTCCATTACGAGTAATGATGTGCACTGGTTTCAATCTACAAATTAAGTAGTATTCAAAATGTGATTATAACCAGACAACCAATCTATCAAAATAGCATATTATTTCAAAACTCAAAAGCAGCAGACCAAGTTCATCCAACCATACCATTGATGGTTATTTCCACGTATAATATACTTATTGACGTACCCAGAGAGCAGATCGAACTATGATAGTTTAAAAACTTGAATGCTGATGTTGGAAGAAATGATTCCTTCATATATTTGTGCATTACTTATACTTGACCTAACTATATGGGATTTGAAAATCCTCCCACGGCATTTGGAGATTTTGAAGAGACACTATTTATTCTTTGAAATTATGACAATATTTCTCCCTATTTGATATCTTTGTTGGTGTCGAGCTCCTGTCTGAAAGTATTCCTGTGAATACAAAAAAGAAAAATAATTAGAGACAAAGGCATGAGTATTCTTTATATTTACATTCTGCCGTGTAAGTCAGTAAAAATCAAGTTAACAAAAAAAATATAAAGCAAAGAAAAAAAGTAAATGGGATGAATCTACTTTCATGGTGCCCGAATCTTTATATTTATAAGTTAAAGGAAACCATAAGGGGACAATTAGGACAAGATCGAGTTAAGGTGGTATTGACCATGTCAAGTCGACTTGACATGTTAAGATTAGCACAAATAAAAAAGATATCATTGGTTGTCTGCTGAAGGCTTTGAGAGGAAAAAATATCATTATATTTTTTTTACCATCAAATGTCCCTAACATTCTGTCCCCCCATCAAGCAAACTGAGTATTGGAACGTTAAATTTATTACCAACATCCCCAATGTGGGACAGATTGGCTGAAAAAAGAGATTAGCAGCTTGGTTCGTCGAAGGCCGACATTGTAAGATGAGGTTAGTTTTGGACGATGACTAGCTTTGAGCCACAGTCCGACCTATCAGTTATTCGATCTCATGTGTGTTTAGGATTGAATGCATAATTAGTTTAAAAGTTGTCGAGGTGATAATTATTTAGGGCGATTCGAGATTAGTACTAGAGTTCGTCTGGCCATGGTGAGACTTTTATTTTTATTCGAAAATTTGGATTTGAGCCTCTATTTTGGACCTTGGAGGTGAATCGGGCTCTTGGTTTATCTTTGAAAGTTGTCCAATTTAGATGGTTTGACCTAAAGTTTATCCAGTTAGGTCGATCTGACAATATTAAATAAGGAAAAAAGTGTTTTGAGCGAGAAAATTTAAAGCAAAAAGACAAAAAAAAGTCTTCCAGTTCATGCTCCGACACATGGCACGGAACATGTTGTTCATCTGGTTTGCGATGCGTCTATATAAAAGGCTGATAGGGTTTTGATTTTCCACCTTTTGCTTTCTTTACTCTTAAACCGACTTAAAATTTTTCTAGCCTTCAAAGTTTTTTCTACACCCATTTCGGTACGTATTTCTAACTATGTCCTCTAGTATAAGTTTTAAAGAGGTAAGAGTTATAGGGTCAAGCCAAATGGAGGTCAGCGAGGGTAACAAGATGACGACCTGATCCCCTATATTATTAGGGGTCGCAACTATGGAAAAACGGCTTATTAGTTCAACTCAATGTCTAATGAAGGACAGCGACACAAATGAAAAAAATGCTCGGGCAAGAGACAAGCAAGTTTTGAGCACGAAAGAGCTGTGTGCTCAAATCAACTTCAAACTTCAATATCCACCTATTTTCCTCGTCTTTTAGGTTGATCCATCTTCTATGTTAGACCTTTTTGCCTCTTCGATCGTTCCCCCTTTTGGGGTTCGATATTCTCCACCTCATACCATTTTTACTCTATTTTTCAATCAATTTTTTTAGATATCTCGTCCTCTCTTGAAGGGTCTCCATCTCATCTTTTTTCCTTCGAGATCAAGCTATTTTCATCCACTGCTCTTCCATGGGATTTGTCTCCCACCTAAAAGTTAGATTCTTCTGACGATGGGGGTTTCGAGGAGGAACAAAAATAAGGGAGCACCTTGATCGAAGAAAATGACGACGAGGGGAAAAGTCTTATGGTGAAAGATGAACTCACCGAGGTCCTTGTATATACTCTTGTGACCTTAGCGTGATCCCTAAAAACGTGATAAGCGAGCTAAAGAGCAAGAAAATCCAAAAGACTGTCTTAACATGTGCTCGGCACATCACGTTTGTGCTTTGAGTGCTATTTTATTTTTTTCTAAAGAGGGGTACAATATAATAACATCAAACTCCTCAAATTGGGTCACTAATAGACTAGAGCCACATCGAAGTTTCTAAATAAAGAAAGAAATAGTATTATGCAAATTTATCTTGCATCAATTTTTTTGTTTGCACAATAATTTCTTGATTGATTTTTTAAAATATTTTCTTTGGCAGAAAAATAGTAGCTTTTTCAAATAATAAAACTTTGTTTAGTTTTACTATCTGAGGAAAGTTTTTATGATTGAAATATTCAAAAAGTTCTAAGAAATTGTTTATTTTTTTAACATTGTTTGGTTTTCTTGAATAGCAAAAAGTTAATATCTTGTTGTTTTAGCAAGTATGAAGAACAGAGATTGTTGAAAACTAATTCATCAAATTGTTATCTTTCTTTAGTTTGGTTAACTAAAAATTTAGCAAGTTTGGTCATCCCTTTTTTAAAATCAGATTTATTTTTTGAAATGTGGGATTTCCAAATATGATTAAGTAACCCATAGATTTCTGGATTGAATCCTAGATTATAGAAATCTTTAACCTCAAAACTCCTTTTAAGTTTTTCAATTTTTTATAGAATTTGAGAGTAAGAAAAAGGTGTCCATTGATTTGGATCTTGAGCCATTTAAAAAAAAGCTTGCATTACTGATTGTAAATAAGTTTGTTTTTTAAAAACATGAAATGGCCTTTGTGGGAAAAGATGAGGAAGATAACCTCGTAGAGGATATGGCAAAGGTATTAATCTTGGGTTAAGATTTTGAAAAGATGATGGAGATGAAGAAAAAGAAGAATTAACTTTTTTGGTATTTTTCTTTTGGATAATTCTCCATCCTTCATATTGTTGAAGAGGTTTTTTACCTCTATCCATCTGGTCAGTTAAGGAAATCTATAAGAAAATTATTGTTACCATTAATAAATTCAATAATAAAATTATATTGGCATAAAGAATTATACTATCTTATTCTCTTGGGATTATCAGATAATTTAATTGAAAACTTTAAGCAAAAAATGAATCAGACTACGGACTCTAAACAAAGGGTCAAATATCTTCAAGCAATTAAAAATCTTTATGAAACACATAAAGATATTTTTAAAAAAATATAGTTATCACTACATGCTAAACAATGACACAACCAGTGAAAATAGTGATGAAGAAGCTGTAGATGATAATTTTGACATTCTTACAACTATTCCAATTGTAAAGAATGAAGAAGCATCTAAAGATGAAACAACATTCGAAAATAAAAAAAAAAATTTCCCCTCTACAAAAAGTAGATCGAGGAAAAAGAAAAGTAGGTAAAGTCCTAATCCAAAGGTTGATGATTTATTAAGTTTTTCAAATTGTCAAGAACATCCAGAGTTACAAAAATATAAAAACAAAACAAAGAGAAAGAAGGAATACAAAGAAATATATAGCTATTTTAGATGACTAGGTAAGTAGAAATAATGGAAAGAGAGAAGACAGTAAGAAAGAGGAAAGAAAAAGTAGTAGTAGTGTCTAAAATTGTTAGAAGACACTTCTCTATTTATAGACTAATGTAACCCTGGTTAGGTTAGATGAATAGTAGTTTACCAGAGATATCTTTTACTATTAGTTACTATAAAAGATTGAAATTTGTCGGCTATTGTGACATGCTACAATGATGGATGTCAGCTGGTGCCTAGAACTTGTAAACAACTTGTTTTTATCTGTCAGCAGGTTTTGTTGGCTTATCCCTAATTGAAATAGCTCGTTTTTATCCTTCTTGGATGTTGTCCAGGTTAAATGCTTCTTTATCTTCTAGATTAAAAGATTGAGGAGAATTTGTCCATGATTTATTCCACACTTGCCACCATTTTTTATATTGGCCCTTTTGCTTTTGAAAAAAACCAATATAATGTTCAAGAAAAAAACAATTTTTTAGAACTTTTTAAATATTTCAATCACAAAAGCTCTCCTCATATAGTAAAACTAAACAGAGTTTTATTATTTGAAAAAGTTGTTATTTTTTCGCCAAAGGAAATATTTTAAAAATTCAATCAAGAAATTATCATGCAAACAAAAAAAACTATTGCAAAATACAATTTCTCTTTTATTTAGAAACTTTGGCTTTAGGAGAAAAACTCCCTAAAATCAAATTCAAATTGGATCGTGACACCTTTGATATAAAAAGCATCGAAATGGGTCTAGTTGGATAAGTTATAGTTCAAAACTTTTCTTTCTAACATATCTTTAATTTCCCAACCTTCTTAAAATCTCAATTTCATCAATATGTAAAAGACGATCAATTTTTTTTCTATATTCATTTCAGAATTCATAGCTTAATAGGATGCTTTCAAAGAGAAAAACTCTATCAGCCATACCAAATCTCTGGGAAGTTGAAAAATTAGTTTCTGACCCCCTATTGAACAAAATAGAAGCCATTGAAAATCTTGATCTGTTAAACCAAATGATTCATAAATATTCCAATTCATCTCCATATTATTTCCAAATAGGAATAAATATGATGG